AGACAGACAGACAGACAGACAGACAGACACAGACAGAAAGAGACAGACAGAAATGTTCTTGGTACCTATGATCTATATATTGGCAAACAATGTGCCTGTTTTAAAGTTGTGTGGGGTTTTTATATCACATTTCTGGTATTTCACAGTATACAATATCAAAATATTTGTTTAAAATCATTTAGTTCTGTCACATAAAAAGGCAAAATAATAACCGAATTGGAAGACAGGTTTATATCAGAATTCAGCTTTTCATTGTTTCTTTTTTATTTTTCCACCATGTAATTTAAAGTAGATCCTGTTTTAAAACCTGTAGTGATAAATGCAAACTACTAATTGGGGTTTATTTTGTCTTTATTTGCATAAAAGAAGTAGAAGGCTTTCTTTCCTTTCTTTTTAACAACTGCATTACTGTGCTTCTTAATTTTGAGATATAGTAGCTGCAAGCAGCGAATTGTCTGATTTCTTTAACCTTTGCTCTTAAACAACTTGGGCAGTTATTTAGATTCAGTTATCTTCCCTGAATGCTGATAACTGTTTTCCCTAACCCAAGTAGTCTGGTTGCAGAAGTTAGAAGCTTTCATAAATAAGAACCTCTTTTTTTGGCCAGCTCAACCCACCGTGGGGGTGGGGCTGGGATGGTTCGTGATGCCAGGGATGGAACCGCGGTCCCTGTGCGCTTACCTAAGCTTGCCTAGCTTTAGACCGCTGAGCTATCTTACCAGCCCAATAAGAACCTTTTAAAAAATTGATCTGCTCAAGTTCTGTGCTTGGTGGGTTTTTGATAACTAAACATTTACTCTCTGTTGTTATTAAGCTTAACTAAATAAAAAAATCCTAAAGATAAATATGCTAAAGAACAGTTACTAAAATGTATGGCTAATGGTAGCCAAGATAATAAACAAAAGTAACTAATAGTTCCTTGAAAGGAAAGAAGTGGCTGCACATAAACTAATGAAAAGAAAACACCATGACAATCACCTTAAAGTAATGTTCTTTAAGGAGCTATTTGTCTAAAACTTTGACATACCTTAAAATAAATATCCTGTATTAAAATATCTTTTTTGGGCTGGGGATGTAGCTCAGTGGCACAAGCGCCTGCCTTGCAAGTGCAAGATCCTGAGTTTGATTCCTGGTACCAAAAAAAGATATATATATATATATATATATATCTATATATATATATATATATATCATACTCCCTATATACCTTTTTATGAAAAACTGGTTACCTATGCAAAAAGAATTAGGGAAGTTCTAATTTGGAGGGAGAAAACAAACTCAGCTGGCTGTTTGTTTTCTTTAATATCATCATTTTATTAGAGTCTTTGCTCATAGACTTTTTAGTAATATATAAGATCTATTTTAAAGCTATCCTACTGAGATAGAAAAACCAGATCCTAACATGTTTTATTTTGTAAGAATTCTGTTTAATGTCAATAAATACTATAATGGTGACAATATTCTATTTCATAGGGACCACTTTTCCTGAGATACAGATCTTTTGTTAGATAAAAGTCTTCTTTGCTTGTATTTGTCATAGAATTTCAATTAAATCCAGCATGAGACTTTTACATTGGTTATCCATAAATGGGACAGCCCACCAGTGTCTTATGAACTATGCTGCTTTGAAATCTAAATGGTGAAAACATTAGAGTTTTCACAAAAGGGAGAATGGAGGTGGGTGAGTTGCCTTCTGCTGAGTGGGTTATTAGTAGTAATAGGAAGTAATCTTTCCTGGTATATGGTTTTATATTTAAGAGGTAAAAAGCAGGTACAGTATTATTACCTTCCTTTGGAAGTATTTTTGAAAGCTTTGCGCTTAGTTTTATTTCTGGATGAAGTGGTTTTTTATTTTACTAACTCTGAATTTTAAAGTGATTCTTCTCTGACCAGTACTCCCTTTTGGCTCATTTTCTGATTTAATAAATGCTTCTCTTAGTATGTAATTTTTAAGACTTCTGGTTATTATGAGTTCTTGTGCTTATGCATGCTGCGATAGGTGCAATGTACATTAATAAGAAAAAAACATGGAATTATCCTTGAGGCTAAGAATTAAAGCTTTGTATATAAGATTTTCTGTAAAAGATTGTATTAATGTTCTTTGGATTTACATGCCAACTTTTCTTCATGTAGTTTTGCTACAAGCTCTTGAGTTTTCTTCTCTACCCTACCACAGTAGCAACTATTTTAAGAGAAAACATTACTAACATATTTTCCTTCATGGTGGGCTTTTAGCATATAAAATATGTATTGAAAGATTCATCTCTTGATAAGATAATGCATATAAATAAAACAATTCAAGTATAAATTCTTTTTATCTTCAGTGAAGATTTCAAAGCAAACTTTAGCATTTTTGTAATAATGAGCTATTCCAGGATTCTAGAAAATTAGCAGATTAACTCTAAAGTTATACTATAAATGTTCACATGGAAGTCTTTGGATCTGTTAATTGGATAGTCACCCTCTGGTTTTCTCATGAAAAGTTTTGATCTTTTACACTTCACCTAGACAACACTGGTCTTATAAATAAGACCTTTATCTCTCAGGAGAGACTTACTGTTCCCTAATTCATAGTGATAGTGTTATAATTACTGCACCCTATAGCTTCGTTAAGAAATATGCATTTCTGATACATTTGCTGTGTAGACTCAGTTAATAGATAACTTCATTGTTTTTGATGTAAGAAAAAAGAAACCACTTTCAGAAAGTTCAGCCCAACAACTCCTTGAGTGCTGCTTAGATGTTAGCCAGAGCCATGACTGAACATGGTGCTGTTGACTTTATGCTTTCTGCCATCAAGAGAGAAGTAGAGACCTCCTGTCTTATTCCAGTTAATATGGAAAGCACAGGCACAAATTGGTTTTCAGAACAGGTGACTCCACCAAGTTTAATCCAAAAGATACCATAAAAAGTTCAAAGGATAATTAGTAGATCAGATTAGGAGAGTATAAAATAAGTGTTAACCCTACCACAATTTTACCCTTGGAACTAAAGGAAGGTAGGTTTTATTTATAAAAAGCATAGTAACTAGTCATGCTAATTCTTTCCTCTTGTTTTCTAATCTATATTAGAGACTACGTTGTTCCTAATAAGAATCATTTAAGATTGGCATGGTGGTATACCTTTAATCCCAGCCTATGATCCCAGCATTTATGAGGCTGAGGCAGGAAGACAAAAAGCTTAAGGCTAGCCTGGGCTTCTTAGCAAGACCTTGCTTGTATAATAGCCCCCTCCAAATATTTGTGACATACTGTTGAACTTCATCATTCTTTAAAGCATTGTAATATGATCTTGGGTCAAATTGGCGGTATATCCCTGCTATCAAACTATTAGAGATAAATTCCTGCTAGTGAATGTTGCACAGACCAAGAAATCCCAATAAAGGACTCTGAGGAAGTCGTAGACTAAAGTGGCCTCTTTGAAACTAAGACTATTAAATGTACATATAACTAGGCAAATGTTTAGTTTCCAGTTGACAAAAAGATAGCTAATATATGGCACAGGTATGAACTGTCCAAAATTTTAAATCACATCAAGTTAGCACATTTTCAGTCCCATACGATATGAGAAATGGCAATTTAGGAAGACAGAGTGCTACACACAAATTTTCTCTCTGATGTTTTTTTATAATTAAAATTGTCCAGAGAAGTTTTTGCTCTGTCTTTATGGCATTTGAGAAGACGAGATAGATGAGAAATCATCTTTCAAATCTGGATTTAAAAACACTTGCTGCCCTCTATGATATTAGGATCAATACATGATCCACAGAATTAGGATAAAAGCATTCTAGGCCATGTATATAGCATTAACTGTGTGGTGGGGGTTTTCTCCATTAATGGATGGTATCTGTGACTAATCACATTTTCTGCCTTATAGGCCTGCCTCGTCCCCTCAGCTCTCACACGATGATACTCATTCACGCATTGAGCATTATGCTAGCAGGTATGAGACTAGTTGAATGCTAGGCAAATATTGATTGAAATAACTAACCAAGGAAAGCTAACCTATAGTAATTTTAAACAATTCTTTCTCCCTCAATCTTGTCTGATTTCTACTAATCAACTTGCCCTCTAACGTGCATGCTATTCCACTGCATGTTGTTTTTGGACACTAGCGTGAGCTTTGTTCTAGAACATTCGTACCTAACTCTAGCCTATATTAAAACATTTCTGGTAGCTTTGTTGTGTTCTGTATATACTGAGCACACTTTGACTAAATTGGCTTACAAATCATCTACCCACTTTAGAAAACTGCTAGATTAGGCATTAATCTGTGAAGAAATGGTACTTTGTTGTATAGTGAATATGAAATCCTCAGATTTCCATTTGTGTGTTTATTTTATATGATTTACTGGAGAGAACAATTAACTTTCCTAACTCTTGGACCTTCCTATTCTACCTTCTTTATGTTGGAGATCATTTTTATACCTAAAAACTAAATCACTAATTATATCTTATGCTTGTTAAATAAGTATTCAAGAGTTTGATTAACATTTTTTAGTTGTCAGAGGCTTTATTATTACCTCAGGTGAAGGAGATTTTTAAAGATAAAGACTGGTGGCTGAGCATTTAGAGAGCTTGCTGTGAATCCGTCCTTTCTTAATATTCTGACACTAGACATACTGGTCAACTGCAGAAAGCATTAACTAGCTATATAAGTCTGTCATCGGTAGAACACATTATTTTAAAAAGGGTAGTGTAAGGTATGGGGTGCATTTATTGTTAGGGAAGCTTTTCTTCTGAAAACAAAGACCTGTTCTCAGTGAAATGAAGATCAATATGTGGGGGACAAAAAGCCAGCGATGAAATATAGTTTCCCGTAGAATTTATATCCGAAATACAAAGATATTGTCTAGTTGTGGTCCACTAAACATTGCTTCAAATGGTTAAGCCAACACACACATCCTTTAATTTGAAGAATTCCTTTCTCCTCTTGCCATGATTTATCCTTTAGTTTTCAGGAATGTTCGATTAGGTCTTGAATAGATTCTAAGACGTCACATAAGTTTTAATGAGCTTTTACGTTTTTTATCAGGCTAGCAGAAATGGAAAACAGCAATGGATCTTATCTAAATGATAGCATCTCTCCTAATGAGAGCATGTAAGTATCCCGTCTCTTTTTACGAAATGTTCCTGACAATGAAATTGCTTGGAGGGATTTAGAGGTAGGATAGCACAGGATATAGGAGCTAGCATCGTATTCATTTGATCTTTCAAAGAGCCATTCATTTACTTTGCTTCTTTAACTCTTTAACACCCTGGCACAGAATGAGCTCATCCAAATTCCGGCATTATCAAAAACTGATTGCCTTATTCTTGTCGAAACTTACTTAATACCATGTCATTATAAATTGCACAATCCCAAACACTTACCTTAAATACTTAGATTTTGACCAAACCTGCCCTATATTTAAAGGGATGTGATATTCATTTTAAAGTAATAGCTACCGTAATTTTTCCACTGATAAAAAGTGGAAATGTGATCTTGGTATATATCAAATTGCTATCCCCATATGCTAGGGTAGTTGGGTATTTTCCTCCACAAATCAAGTAGTCAATTTGCGTGAGTTAGCATCTATCTCAGTGGGGTTTCAAAAGTGTGGCAGTCTTGGGAAGGATTTCTGGTGGGACTCCAAAGCCAGGTCTCAGTGAGTGGGATAATAAGCTAGAAGTGGCAGAGAACATCGCTATGGCAGGACAACAGAGGCTGCATGCTAAACACCAGGTACAGTATTCACAGTATGGAGCACAGGGTGTGTTGCCATGAACTCCGCAGACTTTGATCAGGGTCTGAAGTGGAGAGAGCAGGTTATGAAGTGAACACTTGAGAGGAAATGATAAGGATCTGCCATCTGAGTAAAGAATGGAGAGAGAGAGGAAATCAAGTCAAAGTACAGTTACACTTTTTAATTTGATAAATTGGGGGAGTTTCACCATCTTGTCATGGATAATATAGGCAAAGAGAAGAACAGTAATTTTATCAAATGAGAAAGAACCTTCATGAAGGTTAAGCTGAAGGAAATTGTATCTAAGTGGCATTCCACATAACTAGTTATTGGAGACATGAGAATAAATCTTCTCATAGCATAAAGGGGAGCAAAGAGATTCGAGTCAAGCCAAGACTCACTCATCTGTGTGCGACTGAGTTACTTCAAACAAGTAAAATACCCAGCCTTTTCCCAGTCATGATACATTCTCTTCCTTAGTTATTGTGAAAGAGTATTAATGGTATTCACATATACAAAATTCTTTGACAGGAAAATATGTGACCAAAGAATCAATCAAATGTTGAATGATTTGCTTCTTTGGCTCATTGATTTTGACATTAGAAGCTCTGACACATTCAAATTAATTCAGATTGTATCCATGTGACAGTGGCTTGCCATTCATTGCTGCCTAAGAGAATAGTAAGAAAGACTTAATGACAGCGACATGTTATGAGTGGGAAATCCTAGCAAGAAAATCTCAGAATCTTGGAATAGGAATAATAAATTAGGTGGTAAAACTGCTTTTGTTTTCTTTTTAAACTAAATGTAGCTTTAGCTCATTCTCAGGACATAAAATCCATTTTTACTCAGTGTAGATGGTAAAAAACAAAATCGTGGTATTTAGGGGCATGTTTTAGGAAGTGGTTTGATGAGTTGGTTAACTTAATATTTCCTTTTAGTACCTAATAGTTATTTATAGTTGACATCTCTACTACTTATATGGCTTGGTACATCAAACTAATTTAAATCAGGAGGACTTTTCCCCTTAAATATCTGATTCATTTTTCAGCATAAAATTAAGTGATATGAGCAGAAGAATATGAAGCTATCATCTTAATGATATGTGAACAGAAACAAAAAGCTTTAGCCTGTCAGTGATAGCTCAATGGCCAAGGTAGGCAGCGCACACCTGCAGTTTCTAGCTACTGGGAAAGTTGAGGTTTAGGAACTGCTTCAACCTGAGAGTTCAAGACCAGCCTAGGTGATAGAGTGAGACCCCTTCTGAAGACACACAGGCTTTTCAGGAGACTGAAGTGATGGACTTCAAAAATAATTTCTCCTGGGTATTGGAGGGTTCCTAGATGCCAGGAAAGATTCCATTTGCCTCCCCAAATACAGACCCATTAATACCCCCATTAGTCCTTAAGACGTGTTCTGACCAATGAGTTGCTCTGTCTTCTTTTAATCATTCACCATAACAGATTTTCCTCCGCAAGTTTTGTTTTTTATGTAAATAGTAATTGAATGAAACAATTATTTATTTACAGTTTAATTATTGCTCCCATCCTGCCTCCATGACTTTTTTTAAGTTAATTGGATGACTGAAGCAACACCTTTTGGTTACGTTGCGGTGTCTACTCCATTATTTTAAGGCCTGCAGATTTTTTCCTAGTCAGTATTCACAATAGTGTGGGACAGTAACCAGGTTATCTTGACAGACTTGGAAGCAAAAGGCATTAAATGGCCATTATTATGACATTAATATTTATTAACTATTGGCTAAACTGTCTACATAGAGTCCCGGTATTTCCATAATGCTACTTTTCACTTATCCATGTAAACAGGCCAATTTCAACTAAAAGTTTAAGAAACACTTTGAATTGTCATCAATAGAGTGGTAGACCACAACCTCAACAGGATCTAAATGTCTTTCAAAGCAGGAAAAAGGGTCAAATTAATTGTTAAGAACAAATAAATGTTTCTAATTTCAAATACACACCTGAGTCCCTGACCCCCAAAGCAAAATAAAGGGGGCAAAAAACCAAAACCTTTGATTTTATTTTCCAGAGATGATGAACATTTGTTAATCCAGCATTACTGCCAAAGTTTGAACCAGGACTCCCCCCTGAGCCAGCCTCGTAGTCCTGCCCAGATCTTGATTTCCTTAGAGAGTGAGGAAAGAGGGGAGCTAGAGAGAATCCTAGCAGATCTTGAGGAAGAAAACAGGTGAGTTTTCTTTCTAGCTTTGTCATTGGTAAGCAGAGTGCATACTTTTGCACACATAGAGAAGCACCAGGAATCTTCACTTAGAGTCATTCTGTGTCTAATTGTTTGCTAAAATGATCTGTTTAGCTCCATTTGCAGATTCTCTCTTTTTTTGGTTATCTTCAAGAAGAAAATGAACACAACAGTATGGATAAAAACTCATATTTTAGGTGTTGGTGGGGTATATGATTTGTTGCATGTGCTTCAGAGGCTTGTTTTTTTTATTTGAGAATAGAGTATAAGTAAAAAAGGAAGTCATTTTAATTTTATGGTTATATAATTTTTACATGTTTTGGGCTATATTATCTCAAGCATTTAAGAAAGTAGATTCATTGGCTTGGTCATATTTGGGAACAAATTATTTCATCTTACTATTCATCATCAAATGCAGAAGTCTTACTTTCAACCATCATAGATTAGGGAGAACCCCTCACATTGCCAGCTGTTGCCTGTAAAAGGGGTTCACATGAAAGTAGCAGAAATTGTAGAAGAGGAAAAAAAAAGCTCAGAAAAATTTACAGTGATGCAAAGCGGATAAAATTATAAAAACCCGGGGTATTGTGTGGCATCAGGATAATGCAAACCACTAGACTTTTACTTTTGTATCACACTTACTGTATCACAGGTCCCGTGGCTAAGAAAGCAAAGCAGTCATATCTAACCCACAGTGTCCCTTCTTCAGACAAATGCCACCAGGCAAGTCTTTAAAGGAAGGTTGCTCAAACATGTTGCACTTAGGACCTTTCATCTCTTTAGTGTAGCCTAAGGCACTAAGACTTCTTAATCCTGGTGACACGCTGCGTCCCAGAACCAGTGCCCTGTGGGAGGATGTCACCTGAAGATGAAAACGTATACTGCCATTCATCCAGTCCTTTCTGCTGTTACTCCCTGCCTTCTAGCTCTTCATACCTCAGACCTGTGACCCTAGTTCCTTATCTGGTTTGGCCTCCTTTAGTTTCTCTTCCACCCCTCCAATAAACTCTCCATAATGACTCTACTTGCTCTTCTTTCCAGAACCAAGGCTTATCATTACATTCTTTCTTCACTGGATATCTATATCTTGTAAAAAAAAATCCAGCTTCTCATCTGGGCATTCAAACACTGCAGTTTTCTTTTGCCCTCCTTTTTCAACTTCGTTGTCTTTTCTGCTCCCTGTGTTCTAGTTATGCAGTTGTAGCTACTATATCTCAATACACCCTGCTCTCGTCTGCTTTCTGGGTCAAGAATAAGCTTGCTTCTCAGCCTAGCTGCTAGCCCACAACCATCTACTGCCATTCTGACAAAGGAGACCTATCCATCTTCTCTGACCTTACTCAAAATAACTTTCCCCACAGAACCCTCCTAGAGCTCTGCAGTTGAAGGTCATTTGTCTTTTCCTTTTATTACCAGAACTCTTTGGACTGTATCAGAGAACTCCTTGACAGTTTGCCTCTTTATCAGTGACTATCAGTACCTCCCAGTAATAAGATTCTCGAGTGCCTTTGGGGTAAGGGTTGTACCTTAATCATATTCATTGCCCTATAGTACCCAGCTAGCATAGTATGAATATTTAATGAATAAGTTTAATGAAAACCTCAAACTATGGCAAGGTTGTCACATGAGTACCATCTAGAAGATAATATAGTACTTTTTTGTTGTTGTTGCAGTTGTTTTATGAGAACACTGTTTCGCCTAACTGTAAGGTTGTTTGAGACTGAAGACCACATAGTAGAGAAAACCTTTTCTTCCACTTCATTAAGAATAATTATTAGTGGTGTCTAATCATGTTAAATCTGTAATTCTTATGGGGTCAAAATCAGAATAGAAAGAAAATGTTGGACTTGACATTGTAAATAGAATTTGATGTCAGAGGACTCAATATGTGTTTCAGTATGATTATTGCCAATGTGATATAACTTTTTACTTATTGGTCAAGATCTCTGTCTTGTTTGTTATCACATTCTCCTTCTATACTATGATAACATCAAAAAGAGCGTGGTCAAGAATACTAATGTATAGTATTTATATCTCATTTTATCATCTTCAGGGCATGTTTTGCTTTTCTTTGTTTTCCAGTGCTGAGAATTGAACCAAGGGTCTTGTGCATGCTAACCACGCATTCTACTGTGGAGCTACACTCCCAGTCCTGTATTTTCAGAGCACTTAAATGTGTTTTAGGTCATTTAATCTTCCTAAAAGCTCTATAAGAAAGAACTTGTCTCTTTTCTATAGATCAGAAAACACAAACTCAGAGAGCTTCCTGGAGCTTGCCCTAGATTCTGTAGTCAGCCAGCAGTAAAACTATATTCACATTCAGATTTTTCTGACTCAAAATAGTCAACTCTACCTAGGACCAGGGCATGAAGAGGAGTTGATATATGTAGGCCATGTTCATAGAATTGGGGTTTTTTCCCTGAATGAGCCTTCACTTGAGGGAGTATTTGTAGGAAACAAATGTCTTCTAAAATAAAAAAGGTCTTCTACTTGTGGGACAGTGGTAGCCTCTTTACTCCAAAAGGTGTCCAAGTCATTTTTCAAGAATGGTGTGGTTTGTTTTTGAAAGAAAGAACATTATACCATGGCCACTAAGAATTCTGAAATGTAGAATTTGGTCTTGTAAGTCATTTTGACTTTCAAGAAAAGGTCAGTAGGAGCGTCCTTTCCCTCTACTTCCTCACATTTTCACATCCTACCAAATCCAAATCAAGGTCTCCCCAGAGCTCTGGCCTAAAAACAATGTGTCTGGTTGGTTTCCTTTGTTCTGTACTTTGCTGTTCTCGCAGTTCTGCTCAAGGAGCTTCAGCACCATCCCTTGCCTTCATGACCTTTGCACTCAATGTCAGCCAAGAAGCCTTTAATTTGCCATTTCCTGTCCTTCCGCTAAGGAAACCCAAGAAGTCGTTAGATGCCCTTTATCTGTGCCTGTGAAGCTGGCTATTTCCCAAGTCAGAATTAAGTGGATAAACAACAAACACAAACTTACTTTGAGAGAAAATAGGATTGGTATTTAGAACTGAAATTGTCCCAAGGGTTTTGGATGGGTATTTACTATATCAATGTGGATTCTATGTTCTTTCATTCTGTAGTTATGACTTCTCTCCAAATAACAACAAGGGAGAGAGAGGCTTGGAGGCCTCCATTCCTGAACAGTTATCTTTTTGAATTTTGTTAATTATTCTTATTCATGACATCACCTCAAAGTCCCCTGAGAAAACAGAAAATGGCTGTTTTGGAAGTGTCACAGGGGTGTCTTATCTCTGTCATTAGAATTTCTTTTCTCTCAGTTGTTGCACATAGTTTTTGATAAATATTTGTTTAGTAAATTAATGCATAATGAATTGAAATGAAGCCGAATCCATTTTGTGTGTAGCACACATGCATGCACTTTTGATGAAAATTGTTTTATAAACCTAATTGCTTAGACAAAAAGCCTTTCATTGTCTTTTTCCTGCTCATTTTTAAGAGTACTTCTTTTTCAGGTGGCCTTGATTAGCACCAACATTGCATTGTTGTAAATTTAAAACGTTAAAAATTTATTATCCAAATCCAAGGTGCTATATATCTCTCACACTGATTCTCTGATTCTTAGTTTATGCCACAGAGATAATACTCAAGCTCTGAGCAAAAGCTAAATCCAACTTTTTTGGAGGGAGTGTTCCTCCTAAATTTGGACAGCTAGTAATATTATCAAAATATGTAGTCTTAAATTTTTCATTTCAGCATAATATTTCTCACTCATTATCACTGATAATTCACATTTATCTTTGGTAGAAACCAGTTGAATGTTGGGAATTTTCCCCATCCTATATCCTTAGCGTTGCAAGTTCAAAATTGTATTTCCTATGTATATTAAAGTCTATAGTCTTTGCATTGAAATCTGCAGCATTCAAATTCCATTGTATTTTTTATACTGTCTAAATGAATCAAGGCTTGTTCTTGAAATCCAAGGTATGACTGTAGCAATGAAAAGATGTCCTTTATAAGACACAAAGATTCATTGTCATTCCACTACCTGCATAGCACATTGATTAGGGTGTTCCCAAGTCTGCAAGGCAGGTAAACACTAAACTGATTCTTTGTGAGGTTTAAAGCTATTTAAAGTTGTTAGTAATTGTCATGTGACCACAAGGAACTCTGTAGAGTCTTCTACTTGATTTCAAATACTTTATTGGGTAATCAGAGCTTATGTAGCTTACATTTGGTTTTTCTCTAGCTTCCCCATTCCTCTGGTGATTACGCAGGACCCTGTTCTAGTACTAGTTCTTTACAGCCTCAGGAATATTTATAACCTCTTCTTTCTGTAGTCCATGTGTGAGCCTATAGTGATGGTCAGAAAGTGGCTGAGCAGGAGGAGGATGGGAGTGGGCATTCCCAGCCAGGGATAGATGTAAACCAACATGCCAAAGAGGGGTAACAAAACATACTTCGAGAAATTACAGTCATACCACACTATTATCAAGGCAAATGGGAGGAGATAAGGCTGGCCAGTTAGACAAGGGCTTGCTGAGAAGGCTGTAGCCCAATCTGAGGAGTTTGTGCTTCCTCACGTAAGACAGAAAGCCTCTTCTGTTGTCATGCAGGAATATGGCCCTTAGATTTGCTCCTATGCCCATTCTTCTTTTGTCCATGCAGCTTAAATCTGTACACTTAGATTCATACCTCTGGGTTGGGCTGACTTTGGAAAGCCAATGTACTGGAACCAAGTTTGGAGGTATTGTGGGAGCTCAGGAAAGAGGTGATGGGAGTCTTAAGTAGGGTAATAGAAATGGGAAGGACAGGCTGGATCTGAGTGGTAATTTAAGGGAGAAATAGGGCTGCTTGAATGGGTGATCTGATGTGTCTAAGGGAGAAAGGAATGATTCCCGGGTCTTATAAGTGCATGACAAGATGATAGCTCTTTGAAACTGAGCCTGACAATTGAGGAGTTGTGGTAGCAGGTCCATCATTTAATTTAGCAGGATCTGTGGTGATACTTCATCCAG